CTCAAAGACGTAAAACAGTTATTTGGGACCTCTTTCAAGTAAATGTACATTCCCCACTTTTTTTGGATCGTCTAGACAAAATGTTTTTTTTTTCGTCTTTTGATATCAACGAAATGAAGAATCTAATTTTTAGGAATTGGATGGGCAGAAAACAAGAATCAGAATTAAAAATTTCCTATTTTGAAAATGACGATAAAAAAGAAGAAAAGAAGAAAGAGGAAAAAAGATATAAAAACGAACAGATAGAAATATCAGAAGCTTGGGATGCTTTTATATTTACTCAAGTAATAAGAAGTTTGATGTTAATAACCCAATCTTTTCTTAGAAAATACATTCTATTGCCTTCATTAATAATAGCCAAAAACCTTTTCCGTATGTTATTATTCCAAATTCCCGAGTGGGACGAGGATTTTAAGGAATGGAATAGAGAAATCCATATTAAATGCACCTATAATGGTGTTCAATTATCAGAAACAGAATTTCCCCAAGATTGGTTAATAGATGGTATTCAGATAAAGATTCTATATCCTTTCTGTCTAAAACCTTGGAGAAAATCTAAGGCACAATCTCATCATAGAGATCTAATGAAAAAAAAAGAGAAAAAAACAAATTTTTGTTTTTTAACAGTCTGGGGAATGGAAGCGGAACTTCCCTTTGGTTCTCCCCGAAAACGACCTTTTTTTTTTGAACCTATTTATAAAGAACTCCAAAAAAGAAAAAAAAAGGTGAAAAATAAATTTTCAAAAGTTTTAAAATCTTTAAATAAAATAAATAAAAAAATAAAATCCTTTCTAAAAATTCTAAAAGAAAAAACAAAAGGGGTCGTTCAAATTATCAAACTAATAATGAAAAAACTGGAGAAAGTAAATCCAATTTTATTATTTAAATTAAGTAAAGAAAAAGTATATGAACCAAACGAAAACAAAAAAGATTTCAAAAGAAATAAGAATATTCTTCGCGAATCGTCCGTAATAGAAAAAAGAATGAAAGACCTTTCTGATAAGACAATCAAAATAAGGAATCAAATTGAACAAATCGCAAAAGACAAGAAAAAAAAAGAAATAGTTCTAATTTCTGATAATAAAGGATCGGGATCACAGAAACATATTTTGAAAATATTAAAAAGGAAAAATATCCGATTAATGCGTAAATCACACTACTTTATCAAATCATTCATTGAAAAAATATACATAGATATTTTGCTATGTACCATTACCGTTTCTAAGATAAATGCACAACTTTTCTTTGAATCAACAAAAAAGATCTTTACTAAATCCATTTACAACAATGAAATAAATCAAGAACAAGAAGGAATTGATGAAACAAATAAAAATACAATGAATTTTCTTTTGACTATAAAAAAATTCAAATCGTTTTCAAATACTGATAATACTACGAATAGCAATCAAAATTCCAATACTTATTGGAACTTATCTTCCCTGTCCCAAGCATATGTTTTTTACAAAATATCACAAAACCAATTACTTAATAAGCATCAATTGAGACCTGTACTTAAATATCAAGGGAGCTATCCTTTTTTTAAGGATAATTTAAAAGACTATTGTATGATACATGGAATATTTAACTCACATAATAAAATTCATACGTATGTAATGAACGAATGGAAAAATTGGTTAAAAGGTCATTATCAATACGATTTATCTCAAAAAAAAAGGTCTCCATTAGTACCTAAAGAATGGCGAAATAGAATCAATAAACATCGTATGATTCAAAACAAGGAATCAAACCAATTGGATTTATATAAAAAATACCAATTTATTTATTCCATGAAAAAAGATGACTATGCAGCAAATTCATTTATGAGTCAAAAAGACAAATGGAAAAAACATTACAGATATGATCTTTTCTCATATAAATACATAAACCTTCCTAATTTATACATTTCTGGATCAACATTAGAAATAAACGGGGACCAAGAAATTCTATCTCATTTCAATATATCGAAACCTGAATCATTTTATGTATTGGTAAGTATACCTAGTAATAATTATCTAGAAAAAGGATATCTTATTGATAGGAATACAAATTTGGATAGAAAATATCTTGATTGTAGAATTCTTCATCTTTGTTTTCTAAATAATATTGAGATCTGGACCGATGTACATATTGGTATCAAGATTCAGAAAGATACTAAAAATGAAATTAAGAATTTCAAAAAAATGGAAAAAAAAGATCTTTTTTTTCCTACAATTCATCAAGAGATCAAACCATGCAATCAAAAAAGAAACTTTTTTGATTGCATGGGAATGAATAAAGAAAGGTTCTATGATACCGCATCAAATCATGATACTATATCCAATCTAGAAACTTGGTTCTTCCCAGAATTTGTGCTACTTTTTGATGTATATAAAATTAAACCTTGGATCATCCCAATCAAATCACTCTTTTTTCATTTTTCTATAAATGAAAAAAGTAAAAGCATTAACGTAAATCCAAAGAAATCATCTAATAAAAAAAAAGATCGTGAATTAGGAAATTCCAAGCAGGAAGAGAATGAACAACAGGTCCAAGGAAATCTTGTATGGAATCTACGAAAAATAAAAAAAGAAAATCAAAAAACTGTTGAAGAAGATTACGCAAGATTAGAAATGAAAAAGGTTCTAAAAAAGAAACAATATAAGAGCAAGAATGAAATGGAACTAGATTTCTTTTTGAAAAAATATTTACTTTTTCAACTAAGATGGGCTGATCCCTTGAAGAAAGAAATAATGAAAAATATCAGGATATATTGTCTCCTACTTAGACTAAGAAATCCAAAGGAAATTGCTATATCTTCGATTCAAAGAGGTGAAATAAATATAGATGAAATGCTGATTCAAAAGGACCTAGTTCTTGCAGAATTGATAAGAAAGGGAATATTTATTATTGAACCAATTTGTCTATCTATACAAAGGAAAGGAAAATATATTATATATCAAACTATGGATATTTCATTGGTCGATAAGAAAAAGCATCAAACAAAGAAAAAATACACAAAAAAAAGATATATTGAGAAAGGGGGGTTTGAAAAATCCATTGCACGACACAGCAACATATTTTTGAGTGGAGACAAAAATCATTATGATTTACTTGTTCCTGAAAATATTCTATCTCCCAGACGTCGTAGAGAATTTCGAATTCGAATTTGTTTCAATTCCCGGAATTTTCATGTTGTGGATAGAAATACAAGATTTTGCAATGAAAACAAAATAAGAAACTGTGGACAATTTTTGAATGAGAACAAACATATTAATACAGATAGAAAAGATTTCATGAAATTCAAATTGTTTCTTTGGCCCAATTTTCGATTAGAAGATGTAGCTTGTATGAATCGCTATTGGTTTGATACCAATAACAGCAGTCGTTTCAGTATGTCAAGAATACATATGTATTCACAATTGAGAATGAATTCAATTCCAATGAAAAATGAAAAAAATCTATAGTGGATTTCCTACATATCGTGTAACATATTTGGTAGATTCATAGATGAAAGCCGAAACATATACACTGTGTAACATTCTACTACATGATGCTGATTTCATAGTGTAATTTCATAGTGTATCAATTTTCATTAGGAATAACGGAATCCTTTTAAGTAAAATAAAAAGAAATTGTTTTCTTTTGTGAATACATATATGTTTTGTATATTTGGATCAAATATACAAAACATAGAAACATAAACCACATAAAGAAAAAACAAAGTAGTATATGAATGAAATCCAATTTTGATGTATACTAGATGAAAATAACTGACATAAGAAATATTATTATTTTTCCTGATCCGTAAAATTCACAGAAAAGAAAGATAGAAATCTTAATTTATGGTCAAAAATTCATTCATCTCAGTTATTACACAAGAAGAAAAAGAAGAAAATAGTGGGTCTGTTGAATTTCAAGTATTCCATTTCACCAGTAAGATACGGAGACTTACTTCACATTTAGAATTGCACAAAAGAGATTTTTTATCGCAAAGAGGTCTACGAAGAATTCTGGGAAAACGTCAACGATTATTGACTTATTTGTCAAAGAAAAAGAAAGTGCGTTATAAGAAATTAATGGATCAGTTAGATATTCGGGAACCAAAAACTCGTTAATTAAATTGGAATTTCTTATTATTTTATTCTTATTATCATTATCCTTGTTATTTTTTATTTTTTTCATTCTTTTCTTATTTTATTAGTTTCAGTTATTATTTTTTTTATATTTTTCATTTTCATAATCTAATGAAATAATGAATTAAGGAAAAAAATATGACTGTACCGGCTACAAGAAAAAATTTCATAATAGTCAATATGGGTCCTCACCACCCATCAATGCATGGTGTTCTTCGGCTGATCGTTACTCTGGATGGTGAAGATGTTATTGACTGTGAACCTATATTGGGCTATTTACACAGAGGGATGGAAAAAAATAGCGGAGAACCAAACAATTATACAATATTTGCCTTATGTAACATGTTGGGATTATTTAGCTACTATGTTCACAGAAGCAATAACAGTAAATGCACCAGAACGATTGGAAAGTGTTCAAGTGCCTAAAAGGGCCAGTTATATTAGAGTTATTATGCTGGAGCTGAGCCGTATAGCCTCCCATTTGTTATGGCTTGGCCCTTTTATGGCCAATATTGGTACACAGACTCCCTTTTTCTATATTTTAAGAGAGAGGGAATGAATATATGATCTATTCGAAGCCGCCACAGGTATGCGGATGATGCATAATTCTTTCCGCATCGGAGGAGTAGCTGCGGATTTACCTTATGGCTGGATAGATAAATGTTTTGATTTCTGTGATTCTTTTTTAACAGAAGTTGTTGAGTATCAAAAGCTCATTACGCGAAATCCCATCTTTTTGGAACGAGTTGAAGGAGTGGGCATTATTGGTGGGGAGGAGACAATAAATTGGGGTTTATCAGGACCAATGTTACGAGCTTCTGGAATCCAATGGGATCTTCGTAAAGTTGATCGCTATGAGTGTTACAATAAATTTGATTGGGAAGTCAAATGGCAAAAAGAAGGCGATACATTAGCTCGTTATTTAGTAAGAATCGGTGAAATGCAAGAATCCATAAAAATCATTCAACCGGCTCTAGAAGGAATTCCTGGAGGACCTTATGAAAATTTAGAAAACCGGCGTTTTCATAGGACAAAGGATTCCGAATGGAATAATTTTGAATATAGATTTATTACTAAAAAACTTTCACCCAATTTTGAATTGTTAAAACAAGAACTTTATGTAAGGATAGAGGCCCCAAAAGGAGAATTAGGAATTTCTTTAATAGGAGATAGTAGTGTTTTCCCCTGGAGATGGAAAATTCGTCCACCCGGTTTCATCAATTTGCAAATTCTTCCCCAGCTAGTTAAAAGAATGAAATTGGCTGATATAATGACGATACTAGGTAGTATAGATATCATTATGGGAGAAGTTGATCGTTGAAATGATAATTGATACGACAGAAGTACAAACTATTAATTCTTTTTATAGATTAGAATCCTTAAAAGAAGTCTATGAATTCATATGGATTTTTGTCCCCATTTTAATCCTTGTCTTAGGAATCACAATGGGGGTATTAGTCATTGTGTGGTTAGAAAGAAAGATATCTGCAGCAATACAACAACGTATTGGGCCTGAATATGCCGGCCCGTTAGGAATTCTTCAAGCTTTAGCGGATGGGACCAAACTACTTTTGAAGGAGGATCTTCTTCCATCTAGAGGTAATATTCGTTTATTTAGGGTCGGACCCTCTATAGGGTTTATATCAATTCTACTAAGTTATTTAGTAATTCCTTTTGGATATCACCTTGTTTTAGCTGATCTCAGTATAGGTGTTTTTTTATGGATTGCCTTTTCAAGTATTGTCCCCATTGGTCTTCTTATGTGAGGATATGGATCAAATAATAAGTATTCCTTTTCAGGCGGTCTACGAGCTGCAGCTCAATCGATTAGTTATGAAATACCATTAACTCTATGTGTGTTAGCAATATCTCTACGTGTGATTCGGTGGAACATGAACTCTTTTTTATCTATTTCTAGAAAATAGATAAAAAATGAATTGAGATTTCAATACTATAAAATAGAAATCTAATTTATAGAATTCAATATGTAAATATGAATATCAAAGAATAAAAGAAATATTTTTTTTTCATTAATGACTACTATCCCAGATACGTCATGGTCCGGAATTTTTCGGACTACAAGATCAAATCAGATTATAGAACAGGACTTAATAAGTAACGTTCAACAAATTGGGATTCATTTATCCACAGATTTTTATCTCCCTTTTGAACTCATTTCTATAATTCTTTTAGTTTCTTTGATAGGTGCAATTACTATGGCTCGTCAATAATAGAATTCTAATATAATAAGAAATAAGAACTTCCTTTTTTAAAATTAAAGAATGAAAATGGATTTAATCTATTTTGTTTCAATCTACTGTGAATATCTTCTTTTGTTATGTAATTCTTCTAGTCTAGTCAACTGAATCGGTTTCATTTTTGTTCATATTGAAATCAATCGAGATAGATGAGGGATTTATCAATGATGTTAGAGCATGTACTTTTTCTAAGTGTTTATTTATTTTCTATCGGTATCTATGGACTGATCACAAGCCGAAACATGGTTAGAGCACTTATGTGTCTTGAGCTTATACTGAATTCGGTGAATCTAAATCTTGTCACATTTTCCGATATATTTAATAGTCGGCAATTCAAAGGAGAAATCTTCTCAATCTTTGTTATAGCTATTGGGCTAGCTATTGTTTCGTCGATCCATCGTAACAGAAAATCAACTCGTATCAATCAATCGAATTTGCTGAATAATTAGTTAGAATTCTTCTATTTTCACATAGAAATCAAAACATAAGACTTTTAGATAGAATATTCTAAATAGAATCTAATAGAATTAGAATAATAAGATAATATAATATTAGAATATTTTTATTTTTCTTTCTTCTCTTTTTTCATATAGATTTATGATTTATAGTTACGAACTTATTCTATAACTAACCTAATAACAAACGTATTTATCTGATATTCTGATATATAATATATCAGAATATCCTTAATTTAATTCTATTTCTATATAATAGAAAGATAGGAAAATTCACATGAATTGAATTTGTAAACTCATATTTAATGATTATTGAAATGGAAATCAAAGTATCTTGGCCCTTTCTCATAAACAGATTAGAAAATCTATTGATTCTTCAAATTTTGATAAATCATTGATTCGTCTGGTGTCTACAATAGAAAATCTATGATTTATTTCATTTTCTTATCTTATTTTACCAGATCGAAAATCTTTTGTGTTCAAAACTGGAATTTATAGACCCAATGTCACATTCAGTAAAGATTTATGATACATGTATAGGATGTACCCAATGTGTTCGAGCTTGCCCCACGGATGTATTGGAAATGATACCTTGGGACGGATGTAAAGCTAAGCAAATTGCTTCTGCGCCAAGAACCGAGGATTGTGTAGGTTGTAAAAGATGTGAATCCGCTTGTCCAACGGATTTTTTGAGTGTCCGTGTTTATTTATGGCATGAAACAACTCGCAGCATGGGTCTTTCTTATTGATATGTGACAAAAAACTCCACTTGAATCATTTGATTCCTCTTTACCGACAAAACCTCGTGCTCGGGAGAAGAATAATCTATTTTCTTTTCTCGAGTACGGACTTTTCTGGTCTAATTTTATCTTGTCTTTATCACGAGTTCTTTTCCTTGGTTAAAAATACTTCTTGTTTTGCCCATATTCGCGGGTTCTTCAATTGTCTTTTTCCCTCATAAGGGAAATAAAGTGTATAGGTGGTATACTCTATGTATATGTATCCTAGAGCTCCTTCTAATGACCTATGTATTTTGTTATCATTTCCAATTGGACGATCCATTAATCCAATTGAAGGAGGATTATAAATGGATCAATCTTTTTGATTTTCACTGGAGACTGGGAACCGATGGACTTTCCATAGGACCCATTTTACTGACAGGATTTATCACTACTTTAGCTACTTTAGCAGCTTGGCCAGTTACTCGAAATCCGCGATTCTTCTATTTCTTGATGTTAGCAATGTATAGTGGCCAAATAGGATCATTTTCTTCTCGAGACCTTTTCCTTTTTTTCATCATGTGGGAATTAGAATTAATTCCTGTTTACTTACTTTTATCCATGTGGGGAGGAAAAAAACGCCTGTACTCGGCTACAAAGTTTATTTTGTGCACTGCCGGAGGTTCCATTTTTCTCTTAATAGGAGTTCTAGGTATGGGTTTATATGGTTCCAATGAACCAACATTAGATTTAGAAAAATTAGCTAATCAATCGTATCTTGCAGCATTGGAAATAATACTCTATTTTGGTTTTCTTATTGCTTATGCTGTCAAATCGCCGATGATACCCCTACATACATGGTTACCAGATACCCACAGGGAAGCACATTACAGTACATGTATGCTTTTAGCTGGAATATTATTAAAGATGGGAGCATATGGATTGATTCGGATCAATATGGAATTATTAGCTCACGCTCATTCTAGATTATCTCCCTGGTTGGTGATAGTAGAAATAATACAAATCATTTATGCAGCTTCAACTTCTCTTGGTCAACGCAATTAAAAAAAAAACGTATTGCCTATTCTTCCGTATCTCACATGGGTTTCATAATTATAGGAATTGGTTTTTATCCTGATTTCGTTCTCCCGTTATCGGTTTACAAGGTACAAGTTCTATTATCTAATTTATCTAATTATTTTTATAGATACTAATTCTTTTTTTAGATTCAATACTAAATTTCATTAATTGGAAAGAAAGTCTTAGAATTCTTTGACTTTCATATTTTCACGATTCTTCGTTGTACAATGAAAAAAAAAGGGAAGGGTGAATTATAATTGTAATGAGATACATCTAAAGTTTTTGAGAACCTTTTGAATAATTCCTCTATTTAAACGGTTCTCAAAAACTCGCACAAATTTTCATTGCATTGTGTATCAGACGATTTTTTTATGTATTCTTCATGTATTTTCTTTTATTCAATTATATATTCATTGGAATGAACCATAACTATGGAACCCAATTCCTAAAATATTGATCCCAAAATAGCATATCCAAATTAGGAGAAATCCTATAGAAGCTACAAATGCCGAATTTGTCCCTTGATCTTGCAATTTTGGATTTGTTCTAGTATGTAAATAAATTGCAAATATGGTCCAAGTAATAAATGCCCAAGTTTCCTTAGGGTCCCAATTCCAATAAGAACCCCATGCTTCATTAGCCCATACTGCTCCAGAAAGAATGCCTATGGTTAAAAAGGTAAACCCTAAACTAATGACACGATAACTCCAATAATCCAAACGCTGAATTAATTGATATTTGTAAAAATTTTGAAATGAGAAGAAAGAAGTATTTTTTAATACACTTCCTTTTTGGTTCAAATATTCCATATCACCAAAGAAAAACGACTTCCTTAAACTGAAAAAATTCTTGTTTTTCAAAAAAGAATCGATTCTTTTTTGAAATGTAATCACTATAAGAGCAACTGATAATAATGATCCGCATAAAAGAGCTGCATAGCTCAATAGCATCATACTGACATGCATCATTAACCACTGAGATTGTAGAGCAGGTACTAATATTGCGGGTTGATGCATTTCAGTTGAAAGACCTGACGTGGCGAAACCTTGGGTAAAAATGGCACTTGGTGCAGTTATTGCGCTTAAATCATTTTTATGATTCCCAAGATACGGAATCATATGAATAATGGATAAACTCCATGAAAGGAAGATTAATGATTCGTATAAATTACTTAAGGGAAAATGTCCCGAAGAAATCCAACGAATAACTAAAAACCCTGTTATAGAGAAAAAAGTAGCTATCATCCCTTTTTCTGACGAATTATGTAATCCTTCGATTTCGTAGACTAATAAGTTCATCAAATGAATCAGAATCACAATTGAGATGATCGAAAAGGAAATATGAGTTAATATATGTTCTAAGGTTGCAAATATCATAAAGAAGAGTCCCTTTTAAATAATTGAAATCGGGGAGGGGATTAAATAGAATCTAAAAGAGAATATTTAAAATATTCTCTTTTAGATTCTATTAGATCTATTGTGTCTATATTATTAATATGAATAATTCTTTATGCCGCCACTCGGACTCGAACCGAGATGCTCTAGCACTGCTTCCTAAGAGCAGCGTGTCTACCAATTTCACCATGGCGGCTTACCTTAAATAATCTTAAATAATAATAATATATATATATAGTAAATTCATGTTGAATTGTCGATATTCAATAGAGTTTAGGAAACAATGAAGAAAGATGCATTTTCATTCATCTGGAAATGTTAAATATAAATAAAATATCAATAATACTTAATTAGTATCTTCGTAAGTTCAGTTTGAATAATCAACTTTTCCGTACTAGAAACTAGAAACCTAGCTCTTGTTTATCCAGAAGAGTCATAACTCAATAGTTTCGTTCTCAGTCGGGGTATAAAATTCATAATTCTTTTCTAACGATTTTGAGATCCAACACCTTAGTATAAAGTAGAATGAAATATTCAGATTCTTCCTTGTCTATCGTAATTGTGCTTTTCTATTTTGAAAAGCACAATTCATAGGAAAGAAAAAACCATTTCACGAATTCAATATCAATCAATAGAAATTGAAATAAATAGAATAAAATAGAACATAAACAATAAAAAGAAGAAAATAACTAAAATAGAATAGAATAGAATAGAGATATATAAAGACTATAAAAAATCGAAAAAAAATGCTAAAAAAGAATAAAATACACAATACTGAGTACTTTGAATCAAGTAGACAGAAAGATTCTTATTTTTCATATTACCTAGCTCTAACTAATATGAGAAGTGAAATACAAATATAATTTAGTAAAATTGAATCATTTGTCTTACAATTCAAAAATGGAAATTTGGAAGTTCTTTGAAACATGTCAATTAAGATTTTTCCAAGACTTTTTTTTGTCGCACAAAAAAACTTTTTGACTGTCCGGTGGAAACAGATTTAGCTAAAGAAAAAGCTTTTACTGCCTCTAAAGATCCTTTTTTTTTCCAAAGATTTCTACGAATATGCTTTTTTGACATAGAAGTACGTTTTTTTGGAACTGCCATTCAAAAGGTAGGTTACTACTTTTTATCGTTGTATGTGAAAGACATATATTGTTCAATAGAAATTACTCTTTATTAGTCATTATCTATACTTAATTCCATAAATTTCAAAAATCCCTCAAGAATATCATAACATACAAATAGAAAAAAATAATAAAAGAAAAGAAAAATATTCTAAAATGATTCTATTTTATATTTTAATAGACAAATAGATTTCTATTTTCTATCTTCATTCTGATATTTACATAATGTAATAATCATATACGTATTTTATATTTCTTGTTTTCTAAAGGAATATATACAAAAAGAATATACAAAATTAAAGTAATTTAATTTGAATATTTCTATTTATTAATAAATAGAAATATATATAATATACATAATACATACAAATCACAAATATATAATATACAAATATATATATAATATAAATAGAATATGAATATTCTATCTTAATATTCATATTTAATATTCAGAATAGTAATAAAAAATCTCTTTCTTTTCTATATTTTTAATCTATATTTTTAAGTTAATTAATAATAAGTTAATTAAGAACTAAACAATAAACTTGATTAATTCTTTGAGATTTTTTGCTTATATGAGTTTTTCCAATGCTTAAATGTTAGGATTAGTTACTAGTTCCAATTTGATACAAATTTATATTTTTTGGGAACTAGTGGGAATGTTTTCGTATTTATTGATAGGCTTTTGGTTCACACGACCCGTTGCAGCAAGTGCTTGTCAAAAAGCTTTTGTAACTAATCGTATAGGAGATTTTGGTTTATTATTAGGAATCTTAGGATTCTATTGAATAACTGGTAGTTTCGAATTTCGGGATTTGTTCTAAATAGTGAATATCTTGATCCATAATAAAGGGGTCAATTCTTTATTTTCTACTTTATGTGCCTTTTTATTATTTGTTGGTGCAGTTGCTAAATCCGCACAATTACCCCTTCACATATGGTTACTTGATGCCATGGAAGGCCCCACTCCTATTTCGGCTCTTATACACGCTGCTACTATGGTAGCAGCAGGAATTTTTCTTGTAGCTCGGCTTCTTCCTCTTTTCATACTTCTTCCTCTTTTCATAGTTATATCTTACATAATGAATCTCATTTGTTTAGTAGGTATAATAACAGTACTTTTAGGAGCTACTTTAGCTCTTGCCCAAAGAGACATTAAAAGAAGTTTAGCTTATTCTACAATGTCTCAATTGGGTTATATTATGTTAGCTCTAGGTATAGGTTCTTATCGAGCTGCTTTATTTCATTTGATCACCCATGCCTATTCTAAAGCTTTATTGTTTTTGGGATCCGGATCCATTATTCATTCAATGGAACCTATTGTTGGATATTCACCAGAGAAAAGTCAGAATATG